ACTTTCCAAAGTTATTTTATTATTTAAATAATTCTGTGCAAAAAGGTATGGCATTACCAGAATCTGCTGCTAGTTCTGTAACAGGACAGGAATAATAGAAATTTCCCTTACAAAGACAAGAAGGAATTCTTCTCAATCCGAAAAGATAAGATTTAGGCATCACTCAGATTTTTTAAAGTTTTCAGATCTTAAACGCCCTCCACTCTAAAGAGAGCACCACATAAATGATTGTAATGGATTATTATTATTATGCTATAAGAAATGACAAGTAAGATGATTTCAGAAAAACCTGGAAAGACTTACATGAACTGATGCATAGTGAAGTGAACAGAACCAGGAGAACACTGCACACAGTAACAGCAATATTGTTCAACAAAGAATTGTGAAGGACTTAACTATTCTCAGGGATACAATGACCCAAGACAATCCCAAAGGACTAATGATAAAGCATACTATTTGCCTCCAGAGAAAGAACTGATATTGATTGAATAAAGACTGAAGCATGCTATTTTTCACTTTCTTTCATTTTTTTCTTTTATTTGAATCTTCTTGTACAAAATGACTAATATGAAAATGTTTTACATAATTATAATTGCACATGTATAACCTATATCTGATTGCTTACTGTCTCAGGGAAAGAGGAAGGGGAGGGAGAGATAGAATTTGGAACTCAAAATGGTAAATAAAAATGTTAAGGAAAAGAAAAAAAAGAGAGCACCACCAAAAGTATTAATTTTGGTATGGGCAAACTGTATTGAGAATCCACAAAAGGCAAGGAGAAATAGGAAAAAGAGGAGAAGGAGAAGGAGGAGGAGAACAGCAATAACAAATAGCTCAAGACCAGCTTATCCACATGGAATGATGACAGATACATCATCTAGGCCAACTTCTCCATTTTACAGATGAGGAAAATGAAGTCTAGTGACATTAGGGGACCTGCCCAAGGCTACACAGGTAATAAGTAGCAAAGGTGGTATTTGAACCCAGATTCTTTCATTCTAAATTGAGTGTTCCATTCTGTGCCCTTTCTAATGCACCGTGCTGTCTCCAAAATGCTGACTTTTCTTTAATCATGGATTTGAAGTTCTTGCAGAAAATGGGATTTGAGTCATTTTGAAGGAAGCCATAGTAGCCAGGACACAGAAGTGAGGAGGGACAGCATTTCAGACATGGGGTACAGTGAAAGGGCCTAGTCAGGAGATGGGAGAGTCTTGGGCAAGGACCAAGAAGGCCAGGATCACTGGATTGTACAGTATGTGAGGAGAAGTAAAACGTAAGAAGACTAGAAAGGTAGGAAGAGGCCACTATGTGAGCTGCAAAAGCCAAACGTGGGATTTTGTATTTGATCCTGGAGGCATAGGGATACATGAATCACAGTCAGATGCCTGCATTCTTTTCCTCATGACTGTCATTACCAACAGGGGCTCAAACACTTTAATGTTTTTAACCCTACCTCTTCCCTCCCCTCCCCAACATTACACTTACTGTTCAGTAAACAAACTATGTGGAAAGTGGTTTGTCATTTCAGGATTTTCTCTGACGCTTCAAGAAAGTCATTCTCAAAAAAGATGGTTAATTTTTTTTCATTTCCCTTTACTCACAAATTAATTAGATTAGATGATCTATAAAGTTCATCTCTCCAATCTAAGATGCTAAAATAAATTCTGTTGTAGTATTACTGGAGTAGAGGACAGGTATACTGTCAGAATTAGGTACGTATGATAGAACAAAGTTAAACAATCCAACTCTACAGACACACACACACACACACACACACACAATCACACATGAGAATACTTGCAAATTCTATGTCAATACATATAGCCAAGTGCTAGGTTGTAGAAGTTTTGCAAGGGGATTGATAGTTTCCTTCCAACCCTTCCAGTTGACTCCTTCCAATGTTTCCACCACAGACCCGGATGTCTGAATATCTTTAGATACCTCAATTCTTGAGACTCTTATGCTTACATATCTCATTATTGCAAGTATACAGCTATGCCAAGGATTAAAGTCTCCTTGATAACCATGTTTATTAAAGGGTGTCTCTGTATTTGGAGAGAGGAAATACTGAGGTAGGGTACTGAAAAGAGAGGGTATCTAACAGGAGTCATCCAATGACAATGGAAGAAGCCTCTCTCCAATTCCCAACACTTCTAGGGTTTCTCCCCAAAGCTGGAAGCTCTTATTTGGATCTCTCTTGATAAAACTGCACCAGCCTTGTTACTCCGTTGTAAGAATTTACTTAGAAATAAATGCGGAAACTTCTCTTATTTTATTAGAAGCAACACAGCTCTGAAGACCCCCTAGGTCAGCAAATAAGTCCCTCTCTTGGCTTTGCCCAGGCTGCAGCAATAGACTTCATAGTTCAACTGTGCGTTACAGCAGCGTAGGAATGCTAACACCTGCCAAGTCCCCGATGCTGGGAGGTGGAGGGAGCTCAGAGACAGAGAGAACAGACTGATGTAATTAGCCTGGCAAATGGGAACTTGTCAAACCATTTAGATAAGACAGTACTTGAATTTATTCAATTCGCATTACCAGAGGGCAGAATGAGCTTCCATCCCCTGCTGATTTGGTAGGCACAAAGTGTTTTCTAAGCAAGAAAGAAAGGAATGGATGATTTTTTAAGCTAGAAATTGCAGTGCTATACCAATAAATCAGTGGGCTCTGTTGTTAAAGTCATATTTTTCAGTGGATGCTTGCCTCAAGCCAAAATGTAATTTGATCTTAATGAGAATCAAAGGAAGAAAATCACTGAAACCTACTTTCCCCACATATACCCAGAGTTTACACGTGAGAGTTTCTGAATCTCAAAGTTGGAGAGTTTTGGGTTCTCAAAGTTCTAGTTTTCTAAAATAAAACCAAATGGACAAACCAGAGCCTGTTGAATAGACAACAAAGCACTCAGGCCTTCATTACGTACCATTTTGTCTAACTGCTCCATAGGATTACCACAAATAGATGATAAGCACTCAAAGGGCAATATCTGCTTCTTACAATCTCACTTTAGTCCCCCATGGAGGTTAGACACACTGACTCATCAGGCCTTATTCTCAAGGAGCAAAAGAACTAAGCAAGACCCTTTGGTTCCTTTTCCTTTGAAAACTAAAGGACACCTTTGATTTCATTTTTTTTTCTGACCAGACCTGTGTCATTGGTTTTAGGGAGTCCTAGGGAAGAAGCTTTCTGTAACAATCCAGGAAAACACCTGCTCTGCAATTAATAGTCTTAAAAGAGTTACTTGAAGCATTAAGAAGGTGATATGATCAGATCAGGGTCACACAACCAAGGTGTCAGAAATAAGACTTGAACCTAGGTCTTCCTGGCTAGCCCACTATCTTCTAAAACATGTTACCTGTCACCTGTTACCTCATCTGCAGCATAAAATGAGGGAATTGGTAAAATTTTGTTATTCAGTTGTTGTTTTTTCAGTCCTGTCCTACTCTTTGGGGGTTTTCTTGGCAAAGATACTAGAGTGGTTTGCCATTTCTTTCTCTAACTCATTTTACAGATGAGGAACTGAGGCAAATAGGATTAAGTGACTTGCCTAGGGTCACTTAGCTAGTAAGTGTCTGAGATCAGATTTGAACTCAGAAGATGAATTTCCTGACTCCAGGCCAGATGTTCTATCCACTGCATCACCTAGCTGCCCTTGATTAGATTAGATTACTTTTAAGGTTCCTGTCAGATCTAAGACTCTAAATTCTGTTATAGTATTACTGGGGAAGAGGGCAGGTATACTGTCAGAACTAGGTAAATATCATAGAAGAAAGTGAAACAATCCTCCACTACACACACATACACACACACACACACACACACACACGAGGAATACTTGATAATTATATAGGTCAATATATATCACTTAGTGCTAGATTGCATAGGATTTGCACGAAGGTTAATACAGTTTCCTTCAAGCCCTTCCAACTGACTCCTTCCAATCTTTGCTCCACAGACCTAGATGTCTGAATATCTTTAGATATATCAGGCAATATTAAAAAAATCATTAAATATCTTTCCCATATTCCTAGCCCTCCTCGTCTGGATAATTTTGAAACAGCTCCTCTTCCCTTCTCTACACTGTTGATAATCTTCTAAAAGTTTTGCCCTTTGCCCCTCCTACAACTGAAACTAACTAAAATGCATATTTCACTGCTTAAATCTCTCAATCATGCCCTATGGCCCTTTATCATCTTTACGATTCTTCTCTAAATTCTTCTAGTTTGTCCAAAGCCAAAAAAAGAAAAGTTCCTCATCTCTCTTCCGCCACAAGATTTGACACCAGTTAGTATTATAAAAAGATTTGGGATACCTGAAAACCCTTAAAAGGAATGCTTAAGGGAGAATAGAATTAATTCATTCTTCACATGCAGCTGCTTGTCAAACAGATATTCACTCAAACTCCTCTTATGGACTACAGTTAAGAGAAACAAAACACAGTGGGTCCTTGATATTTGCCTCCGTGACTATATTGTAACACCCTGAAGACAAGGCAAAGTGTAAAAAACAGCCAACCATCTCTAGCACATTAGACTCCCTGGCTAAACAAGACCTAACCTGACTTGGTCGGTCCATATGCATAAATATGCAAGTGCCAAACAGCCCTACCCAAACTCAGCGAATTTCTTAAGGTTCTTTCAAATCTCCATCTCTGACTACTCCAAATTACTTTTACTCCTTTGCCTTACTTGTTACCTTTCCAAAGATTCAAGTAAGATTCCCAAAGCCTGAATGTCTCATTAATAGTTTCTAATTGGTCCATTGTTTTGAATATTCTGTGTTGCCATGAGGGACCATCATCTCTACCTCTGATACTTATTACCAGTGTGACCATGAGCATGCGTATTTAACATCTGCAGGCCTCAATTTCTTCATCTGTAAAAAGCAACATTTATTAAGAGCCTACCACGTGCCTGGCACTGTGTTATACACTGCAAATACAAAGACAAAAGTGAAACTATCCCAGCCCCCAAGAAGCTTCCATCATTACTATATCATACCTCTGAACCAGGTTTGTGATCTGTTTCCCAAATTCTTCTTCTATCTCCTTTCTGTCCAGTTGGTCTAAAGTATAGACTAAAAACAAACAAACAAAAAAAAACCCTTATCTTTCTGCCTACAGTGATCTTTATTTAAATGCCCCTCCTTTCTTATTATTCAATTTCTCCATACAAGTACATAATAGTATAAAATGCTATACTTCTACCACCTCTGAGCCCTGTTACTTACCTTGATTCTTTTGAATAAAGATCTTTATTTCCAAAGCCAGATTCCAGTCATTTGACTCATTGCACTGTCTCAGTAGTACCTGTGAGATCAAATTTGAATGTTTGCATTAGAATCTTTAGTTTATCTTGCTTGCTATCCAAACATCATACATTTATATATAGACTTCTGGCACCATATCTCTTAGCTTCTTTCTTAGATTTTTGTCTTCTGCAATCTTCTGCGGGCTTCAACTGCCATTCTTCCTTTATTGGAGCTACCCACTATGCTATGTAGCTTGTTGGCTGGCTCTATATAATCAGTTTTCTCCTTTCCCTTTTCCTTTCAGTGTAAAAACCTTCTGACTAAATTTGCAGGATTCTAGGCTACATTCACCTCCTGGATCACACACCTTGTTGCAGTGGAGGGACTTGCATAGCTCAATGAAGCTATGATGTTCAGGGTTAACCAAGATGAACAGGTCTTAGTGGAAAGTGCTAATAAAAGGTGATCCACCTGAGAAGGAAATGGCAATCCACTCCAATATCTTTGCCAAGAAAACCCTGTGGACAGTACTAAAATGGTAAAAGAGATGGATGACACTGGAAAATGAAAAGTGTCCAATGTGCTACTGGGAAAAGTGGAGGACAACTACAACTGGCTTATATGCAGAGTACATCATGCAAAATGCCAACATAGATGAACCGAAAGCTGGAATTACAGTTACCAGGAGAAATACCAACAATCTCAAGTATGCAGACAATACCACTCTGGTGGCAGAAAGTGATGAAGAATTTTAAGAAGCCTCTTGATGAGGGTCAAAGCAGATAGTATCAACGTTGGCTTGAAGCTTACCAAAAAAAATTAAGATCTTGGCAACTGGTCCCATCACTTCCTGGCAAATCGAGGAAAAAAGAAATGGAAGCAGTGTCAGATTTTACATTCTTGCACTCAGAGATCATTGCAAATGGTGACTGCAGTCATGAAATTAAAAGACACTTGCTCCTTGGAAGGAAAGCTATGGCAAATCTGGACAACCTACTAAAAAGCAAGGACATCACCTTGCCAGCAAAGGTTCGAATACTCAAAGTTATGGTTTTTCCAGTAGCAGTGTATGGCCGTGAGAGTTGGACTATTAAGGAAAGCTGAGTCCTGTACAATTGATACTTTCAAATTGTGGTGCTGGAGAAGACTTTTGAGAATCCCTTGGGCAGCAAGGAGATCAAATCGGTCAATATTTAAATAAATTAATTCAGGCTATTCACTGGAAGGTCAAGTACTGAAGATGAAGCTTTAACCACATAATGAGAAGTCATGACTCACTGGAAAACCTGATGTAAGGAAAGAATGAATGCAAAAGGAGAAGGGGATGGCAAAAGATGAGATGGATAGAGAGTTTCATGGAAACAATGAACGTGGACTTGAATAGACTTTGAGAGAAGGGCCTAGCATGCTATGGTCCATGGGGTCACAGAGCTGGACACAACTGAGTGACTGAATGACAACAAAAAGCAGGCTCCATTCTGATCAGCTTTTGTTAGAGGTACTACATAGATAGCCAGGAACCTGTCATTCCTATGTGTTAAGCTATGATCCAAAAATCCACATCTTGTTCTTAGGCATTGTCTTCTTAATCAGTCCTTGACTTTCCAAGTCAACCCTTTACCTTTAATTGTCAGCAGCAATGAAAGCACCACCTATGTCTCAGTGCTCTAGTTTCTCGCCCAAGACTTTATCTAGCAATACTTTCTGTATTCCTTCTAGTAGTGTAGTTTGTGTCCACGTGAATCATAAGAAAAACTAGTAGTCACCTAGTTTGATGAATCTTAGGAATTTCTCTAACACCTTGGATTTGTGCCTTAGGAAGAATATAGATTCTGTCTCTGCATGTGTGTGTGTGTGTGTGTGTGTGTGTGTGTGTGTGTGTGTGTGTGTCTCTCTCTCTCACACACACACACACACACACTTCTTCTCTCTCTTCTTCTCACTCACGAACACACTTTTTGGTCTGCCCTGGTCAGATCATTTTATAAGTGTTGTGTTCAGATCTGGATTTTAAGAAGGGCATTGATATGATAGAGACTGTCCAAAGGAAGGCAACCATTTCATGCCCTACAATGAACCATTGATGGAAAGGAGATTGTTGAGCTTGAAAAAAGCAGACTTTGAGGGGAATGAGAGCTGTCTTCAAATATCTGTCCCACATACGTGGGTAGAGATTTGTTCTCCTTGGTTCCGGAGGTCAGAACCAGGAGTGATGGATGGAACTTGCAGGGAGGCAGAAATCAATCAGCTCAATGGAAGCAAAACTTTCCTAACAGATAGTACTATCCAAAATTGGAAATGACGACATTGGGAGGTAGTGCTTCCCCCTCATTGGAGGCCTTCAAGAGAAAGCTGGATAACCAGTTTTGGGATATGTTGTCGAGCAGGTTCTTATTCAGGTATGCGTTAAACTAGGTGGCCTCTGAGGCTTCTTCCAAATCTGAGACTGTGAGTCAAATAACAGGAGTCTGTACTTGCTATTTCTTCCTTTTCAGCAGGTACTTGCTCAAACCCTTGCTTAGGTACTAACTCCTTTTCTAAAGCAACTCTCTCCAAAGTCATTAAAGACTTTCTCTCTTCCCCCCCTCCACTAAATCTAATAGTCTTTCTTAAGTCTTCATCTCCCTAGACTCCCAGGCTGCGTCTGATAACTGGAACTCCCTTTTCCTTCTTGATTCCCTCTCTGCTCCCTCGGCTTCTCAGACTTTTCACTCTCACAGTTCACTTCCCTTCTCTCTGACTACTCCTTTTGGGATTTCTCAGCTTTCCCTGACACTTAAATATGGGTATCTTCCAGAGTTCTGGACTTGGCCCTCCTCTCTTCTCTAATATTCTTTTCAATGACAAGCTTGTCCATTTTCATGAATTCAATGACCAATATGCAGATGATTCTCAAACACCTATTATTACTCCCAACTCTCATGAAGAATTTTAATCTCATAGTTCAACTGCTTTCTAGAGATCTACATTTGAATATCCCACCAGCACCACATGTTAAGCATTTGTCTGTGTCTGTCTATGTCAGTAGTGCCTAACAGGGTTGAATTATAGTACAAGACTATAAATGCCTGTAAGGCAGAAAACATCTTTGTATAAAATATATCTATATATTAAATATTAAATAAAATAATGCATTAATAGCATATTATAACATGCATAAGGGTATCAGATATCACAGATATATATACATCTATAGATAGAGGTCTCTCTCTTAAAGAAAAGGGCATTGGATTTGGTATCCAAAAGACCAGAATGCAAATCCTGGTTCTTCTATTTCCTAGAGGCAGCTAAGTAGTACAGTGGATAGAGTGTGAGACTTGGAGTCAGAAAGACCTGAGTTCAAATCCTGTCTCAGACACTTAATGGTTGTGTGACTATGGGCAAATTATTTAAACTCTATGTCTCAGTTTTCTCACCTATCTATCTATCACTACTGCTGAATATAGTTGATTTATATTGAACTTTGAAAAAATTGTAAGTTTCTTCAAGGCAAGAACCGGCCTTGTATAGTATCTCAAATATAGCAGGAACTCAACAAATGTCTGCTAATTAATTTTATTAGTGACCAGGAGATAGAAGAGACTCAGGTTTTTAGTAGAGGGCCCTAGTATCCAAAAGGGCATATTCTGGGCAGTTATTCGGATTCTATAGCTTTCTGTGTAGTTGCTTAATGAGAAGTTCTGAGTTCTGGGGACATAGTCTTGCTGTACTCTGTAGGGTAAGACTTCAACATAAGGCCTGGGTTTGAGTTTCGGCCTTGATAGCTCTTATCTGTGTAAACTTGGACAACTTGTTTAACCTCTCTGGGCCTCATTTTCTTCATGTAAAATGAGAAAGTGAAACTAGATGAACTCTAATCTAACTTCCTTCTATAGAGTCAATGATTATGTACAGGAGGGTAAACTAGTGAGGAAATTTTAAAAATCATACCATATAAGGGTTGCTTAGAAGGAGATGTTTAGCCTAGGGAGGTAAATTTAGGAGACACTGCCTTCAAATGTTTGTCAAATGGAAGAGAAATTAGACTTTTTTTTCCGCTCAGCACTAGCTTATCCAAATCTCCTCAGGTGTTCTTTTAACCCTAACCTTAGAGGAGGTCTCTATTCAGAGTAGGGCCAGTTCCTTTATCAGCCCTTGCTTTCTACCCAGCACCATGCTTACCAAGCCTGGATATCCAATTTATGCCTTAAAAGAAAAGGTCATAATGGAATCCAGTTGGGTCAGGGTGAACAAACCCAGATCTTTGGACATGCACAAGAAAAGATCAAACTGTAAGCAAGTGGGTAATAATTCATCAATCACACTTTAATAAGGTACAGAGAGTTCAGAGGCAGACTGTGTGGGGATGGCAGGGCTCTGAGGGTTGGAGAAGGACAGCAGAGAAAGAGAGGAGGAGGGAGAGGAACTCAGAATCACTTATATAACTGTGGATTGGAGTTGGGAGCATTCAGGCAGCATGGACCTGTAGCAGTTGGAAAAGTGCTCAAGGGGCAGGGTTTGGAGGTCCCATTTTTATACAGTTCTAGTGGGGAGGGAAATGGCCTGAGTCTTATTTGTACCACCTTAAGATTCATTCATTAGCATATCAATATCATCTCAAAGTTATCAATGCTACCTTAGGGTTGCCTCATTAACATAATATTTCCCTAATTTTAGCGTACATGTCTGGTGCTTCTCTGTAGCTTGCAGACAGAAGACCTTTACTGGGATCTACCTGGCTTCTCTCTCTTTTTTATTTATTTATTTTATTTTATTTTTTATTTTTAACATGTGTTTTTAAAACTTTGGGTTACAAATTTTCTCCCTTCCTCCCTCCCCACTTACCCTCATTGAAAAGGCAAGCATCTCAGTACAGGTTATAGATGTGTAGACATGCAAAACACTTTCATAGTAGTCCTGTAGTGAAAAACTAAGTATGTTTTCCTTCAATCTATCCTACCCCCCATTTATTCTATTTTCTCTTTTGACCCTGTCCCTCCTCAGAAGTGTTTGCTTTTGATTATCCCCTCCCCCAATCTGCCCACCCCTCTATCAACCCCCTGCTCTCTTGTCCCCTTC